AATAAAACTAACTTTACTGTAGTAGAAGCTGCTTCTGTGTGTTTGCCATTTTCAAATAAACTGAATGAATGAATGAATAAAGTGCCTAAATGCAGTTTAGTTTGAACATGTGATAGTTTCCACAGTGAGAGGCTGAACATCCACAGCCTCAGTGCCTTTGATGTCTCTGCTTTAAGTCTGTTCCAGGTTAAGTTTCCAGATCTTGTCTGCGCCTCAGAACTAATTCATTTATTATTGTTTTTATTACAAATGTTCACTTGTTGCATAAGCACAGACATGAACAAAGTAACACACTCACATGTGACATCACAACTCTCCACATTCTCCACCGTTTATAATAAGCACTGAGCTTGTTATACACGTGTTGACCACACGATGGCGCAGTGGACTTGTTTCTCTTTAAATCCACTTATGTTTGTCTTTGAGCAAATGTCATGGTAACCTTGCCTGCAAGCTGAATTCATCTGAATACATCTTGCCCCGCTCCCGCCAACCCTTTTCGAGTAGAACATCTAGGTGTTCAAGCCAATCACGCGCCAGTCTGGGGGTTTAGGGCGGGATATCCTGGTTTGACGAAAGCAAGAAGTGCCCGGCCGAAGCAAAACAAACATGGCTACGCAGGAGGACGGACGCGTAGCTGAGGCTATCAAGTCAGTTTTAGCAGAATCTCCAATTTCTTTTTTGAAAGATGAACAGCGAGAGGCGCTTTGTGCATTTCTGGACGGCAAAGATGTTTGTGCATTTTTACCGACGCCGATGACGACATAATGTTACCGGGATTGGTTTAACCCCTTAAGCTGGCCGGCGGGGGCAAACGAGAAGAAAAATACTTCTGCTGGCAATAGCAGATGTATTTTGAACTTCATAAGCCACAAGCTATATATCATTTTAAAGATTATTTTCTCAGCTATATTTATATGTAAGTGTAAACGATATCAGACTTTGCATTAAAAATATATAACGCATAATATGGGCACAAAATAAATCGTGTTTGTATCAGTTTCTTACCTTTCGTCTTCTGCTGCTCCAACAAATTAGACTTTCCCCATCCTTGCTTAGTCTCTTTCTCTCCGTAAGTCTTCATTGAAAAATAATATCCACTTGTATTTCCCAAAGTATAATCCATTCTTCAGAAATAATCCAAAAATGTGCTTTTTTCTGTTGCAAAAAAAAAAACGCTACGAAAAATGTTCAGGCTTCTCTTTCACATTTCACCAAGTTTGAGCTTTGTTCAGCCACAAACATCATATCCACGTGTTCCTTGAGTCCTTAGCTTCAAAAAGAGAGGTTCCATGAAAAGATAGGAGCAGGTTTCAGTCCGCAGGACCCTTGTGAAAAAGACGAACCGCATCCACTTGCAGAGGGGTCCGTTTTTGCCTTGTTGTTGATTACAGGCTAGCGCAATGAGCTAGCACTGAATGATTGACATGTCTAAGTAGCCAATAAAAAGAGCTTTCTTTTGATGGGTGGGACTTGTAGGAACTCTTTTCATTTTCACAGTAAAAGCGTGCGTAAAGACACTGTTAGTACTGCTGCGCAGTACTATGCATTTACACTACTAAAAAAATAATTTTGAAAAGATGTACAAGAAAATCACACAGATTTGTAACTTATAAGTACCAAAACAAAAAAATATGCTTTTTATGATGGTGAAATGTTAGCAAAGCAGTTTGTCACAATTTGGCCAAATTGGTTCCGAATGGCACTACTTGATAAAAAAGAGAAACTACATAAAAACTATAAAACTTAGAAGTCTGAAACTTTACACAGTTGTTGTCAACAACACAATGAACAAATTGGCGTTGAAAATGTTCTTCTTCCAATGAAGTAGGCTTTTTTAGGGCATTTATACATTGAATTTATTAGGCGAGGCTAAAAAAAAGTTTTTTTCCCCAAACTTCAAAGGATGCAGAGTGAAATAGGAATGACAAACATTATTTCAGTGTATATTTACATAAACTAGAAGGGCCTAGCTTTAAAATGATGCATCACACAAGCATGTGAGATGTAAGATGTGTTTTAAATAAGCAAAGACATTTGGGTATGCCAAACTTTTGTGCACGAGCCAAAACAGATGTAGGAGTTTAAGAGGTTAAGTCAAACCTTGGTAGGCGGGCACACATCGTCACTTCGCCCAATCAGCTTGAAGTATTCTGCTGCTTATCCCTCCTTTCCCCGAAAGGATTCTCCTGTAGAAGTCCCAGATTGATATTGTGGAGAACGCATTAGAGTTCTACACAATCATCGATCTGGCTCTTGCCAGGTTAATGTCATGGATGTCTTATGGTACTTTCAGACCGCTAACGCTGAAACGCTAAAGCCCCGCTCACCAGACGCGCATTCTCTAGTTTTCAGACGCAGAGGTCTTCACACCAGAACGTCCTGACCAGCGCCGGAAGTAGCCGGCCGGCTCTGATGCTAACAGAGTTTAGCTAGTGGCTTCTTGTGTAAAGATCTTCTCCAATATGCAGCTTTGGAGCGTGTCTGTGTTCACAGACTTTCCACTTTATATAACACTGCTCTTCAAACCCATTCCTTTAACACAATCCAGGCAGAGCCACATCTCTCTTCTAATCAGCATGACATTATCTTTAGTCCCTTTAGTTACAGAGAAATGGAAAAACTTGCAATATTCCAAAACGTCTCCTTCTGTTTAGTCCTCGGAGCCGCCGTGACCTCTGTCTTGTAAATCTGCGGCCGTTTCCAAAAAACCTCAATGTTTTGCTTTGAAAGTGCTGTGCAGAAAAGTCCGGTAAAACCTCTTGATGTGTGGCCTCCGTGTGTTTGTTGAACACACCGACACCGCTGAAGATTGCACAGTGGCAGCCCTTGTTGGGACGCGACCCCAGCACTTACATAAGCGTAATTGTGCTTGAATGACTTTGCATTGTTGTTAAATGCCAGATGAAATTACATGGGGCACAGCATTCCCCTACATTAAAGCAGCCAACGAAATAAAACCATGTGGGGAGAGGAAAAATAGAGAGCGTGTTTAAGCTAGCATGAATCAGAATCACAGTGTTAAACAAACTGTGGGAGTCCTGGCCATTACCAAAAGGGAAAATCAAGTGTTGCCTGGAATTCTTAAAGAGACCTATGATGTTTTTAATCTGAGCTAATGCGTGTTATTAAGTTGTTCTGATGTGTACGGAATGCTTTGTGATGTCATCATTTTCAATTCAATTAAAAATGCATCGGTAACAACCTGGAGCAAGCACAAGGTGAGGTTAAGGCGGACCCAAAAATGCGGGAATGCAAAAGTAAAGATATAATGAAGATGATAATATAAATGTTCAGGGTAAAAACAAATCAAATATCCAAACGAAACTCAGGATCATAGACAAAGACAATGGACCAGCAACAAAGGGAGAGGAGCACAGGTACATAGGCTCAGAGAGACACAGGTGAGACACGGTAGGGCGGGGACAGGAAGTCAAACTAAAACAAAACCACAGAGAAACAGAAGTCAAAATATATATAAATATGAATATAAACCCAATTAACAAATAATCCACACCACGGCAGGAGCTGAACGCCCAGAAGACTGTAGAGAGAGGACGTCAGGAAGACCTCAGACCTCCGGAGTACGTAAGTAATGTGTATTTATAAAGTACATTTACAGACCAAGGTCACTCAAAACGCTTTACAAAGGTCAGAGTTCAGATACTTTCCTTTTTCAGACGGTGATGACGGAAGCGAGACGCCGAACACACTGGACCATCCAAGCCCCACTCACCAGCATTCACTCACTCATTACATTCATATCTATTGTACATGTTGTTAGTGGTAGGGGAAACTGGAGCACCTGGAGGAAACCGGAGCATGTAAACTCCACTCAGAAAGGCCCTGTTACGACCGGGATTCGAACCCAGGACCTTCTTGATGAGCTAGACTGCTAACCACTCAGCCCCGTGCCGCCTTAAATGTAACTGTTACATGTCTATTGTGTGGACTCAGTTTATTAAGATGTAGTATAAATAGTTTAAGAAGGTTAATCTTGTGTTTTTAGTATAAAATACCACTTCTATACCAGACAATAATAAGTTTATATAGTAGTAATATTATGAAGCTTTAACCTGTTTGCACCTTGAGCTAATTGTTAGTTTGTGGCTTTCAGTTACTTACAATGTAAATAAACATAATTCTGATTCTGATTTTCTGTCCTAAACCATCGCCTTGGAGGACTGTACAAAGTTGTTGATTTTGCCAGCAACAGATTGGAGTGGTGGGGAAACCCTGGTCCGTCGGCCAGATGTGGCCCTTTCAACGCTTCTATCAATAATTAGAGCTCTGAAGTCACAGTTACTTAATATTATATAATAATAATAATATATTGTAGTTATGTGTGAAAAATGAAGCCTGAGAAAAAACATTGGAAACTAGGTGCGGCCCCCGACAGAAGGCTGATGTTCTAGTGTGGCCTTACACTGTATGGCTCAAATGTGGATTATTGAGAAAATGAAGTTTACTTGTACATGGAGGTGGAGCAAAACCTCGTCCATGAGCACTTCCACAGCATTGCCTTGTCTATCTATACTGTACGTAGTCTGTGTAAAACCAATGTAATATAGTGCAATATGAACCAGCTGGGACTCAGGAGCACAGGGACTCTGAGGAGCACAGGGACTGGCCTCCTGCTGGGACTCTGAGGAGCACAGGGACTGGCCTCCTGCTGGGACTCTGAGGAGCACAGGGACTGGCCTCCTGCTGGTCCCAGAGTGAAACCTAGACTTGGGGGAGGCAGCACTTCAGATGCAGCTAAAATCTGGAACAGTCTTCCTGTAAATGTGAGACAGGATTCTTCTCTGACAACGTTCAAATCCAGGTCAAAAAACAGTTCCGTTTAGATTAAAACAACTGAAGGATTTCATCTTTACTCTTTTTAATGCTTTTTATTGATGATTTGAATGCCTTGTTAATGGAAAAGTCTCTTGTGTATGAACAAGGGGGAGCTTGGGGGAGGGAGGGGAGGGAGGGGGAGTGAAGAGGAATGAGGGGAATCAAGGGGAGGGAGTAGGAGCTAGGGAGAGAGAGCGGAGGGGAGGGAGGGAGGGGATACAACAGGAGGGGGGAGGGAAAATAAACCAGGGGCAGCGAGGGGAGGAAGGAGAAGTGAGTGAGGAGAAGTGGGAGAGAGCGGAGGGAGGTGGAGGGGAGGGAGGGAGAGCGAGGAAGGGAAAGGGGAAGCAAGGGGAGGGAGGAGAAGTGACAAGGAGTGAGGTGGAGCAAGGGGAGAAAGGGGGAGAGAGTGGGGGGAGAGAGAGGGGGAGGGGGAAGGGGGAGCCAGGAGGAGAGAGGGGGAGTGAGGGGGAGAGAGGGGGAGGGTGCGGTGCCACGTTCACATCACAGAACTGTATTTCCATTGAGCAGCAGCAGCAGCGTGGGTCGTTTCCACACGTCACTGTTGACAGAGGGCAGAGCTCCCGGGGCAGGAGGGGTTCTGTCTCTGTGACCCAAGACCTCCAGGAGCAGTCAATACGACGGCTTTTGTTTTGGAAGAGCAATTACTTCTGCTGTCAGACTGTACAACGAACAACGAGGACTAGCAAACACTATGAAAAATGTCAGAATGTGCACTATACAGAACCATATGTAAGTCACTTTACTTTCACTTTGTCCCAGAGCCTCGTAATGTTACAGATTACTTAGAGTGTGTATCATTTTTGCTCCTCATAACCGTGTGACTTTATCTGTATCTATATATAGTTTATTTCTGGTTCTGGACCGGTCCTGGTTCTGAGCCTTGTTAGCTTGGGTAGTCACCATTTGGTCTTTTGCAGATTGAAACGATTGGATCTGAGTTGTGATGTCACGTATGTAATGCGCTGGGTCAGTGTGGCATTTAGCATTTAGCCTAGCCTTTAGCCTAGCTTTAGCCTTTAGCCTAGCTTTAGCCATCTCCTTTGCCACTAACGGAGCCCGTGGGGAGTAGAGCCTCAACATCTTTGCTTGAATGACATTTACTAAACATTCCTCTTGCTCCGGCTTCAGTTTATTGATATTTGGATTGAACCAGAACAGATTATTTTACTATCGCATTCTCCGACAAACTACAACCAGCAAATTCAGCACAAACTCTTGACGTCACCGACACAGACCTACAACACCCGCCTCCCCCGCTCTCTGATTGGTCGGAGGGGATTCAACCGAGGAAACTGCAGCCACTAGGATCAGACCCAGACGTACATGTAGGAAATGACCATGGACCAGAGTTTACACATGGTAAGACCAGACGTACATGTAGGAAATGATCATGGACCAGAGTTTACACATGGTAAGACCAGGTTAGAGTTCCTGTGTTCCGTTTGGACTTCTTTGTTTGTTTTTACCCTGGACTTTTAATTAATATCATCATTAAATCATTATTTTCAACATTCCTGCATTTCTGGGCCCTCTTTCCCTTCCCCATACGTCAGCTTCCTCAGCCCATCACCGGGAACTCCTCTCGTTTGACAGATTTTCTTTATGTTTTGAAAGTCGGCCTGCGCTCCATGTAATGACTTTGCATGTGTCTAATTGGAGCCATGCACAGACACCAAACAACACGTCTGGCATTGTCACGACTGTTGTTACACTTGGGAATCTGTTTGTGGTCTGAGAGAACAGCCGACTGCAGCGGGATCCTCACATGCAAACTGTGAGTGTGCAGTAATTAGAGAAAAATGCATGTTGTGGATGAAGAGGAAAGACAAACTGTAAACCACGTCAGGAACTGGAGTGGACTCTGTGACTCTCTTGGATCCCTGCCTTTCTGCCAGACCGTAGGAGCGCGCGAGGCCATCTGAATACACAATACACAATACATTACAATTTAATCTTGTATAGCCCTAGGTCACAACAGAAGTCATCTCAGAGGACTTAACAAAACCATTGAAATCACCAACACAGGTCAGAGAATCAACAGTTAAAACACATGAAGAATACAGTATAAAGCACACACAGAAGAAAATGCTCATACATGTTGTAGAATGTTAAAGTGTCCTGATCATCACCAATCCTTTCTGTTGGACACTAACTGTCAACAAGACCCTCTTGCATCGACAAGGAAAAACTCTTAAAAAACCCAGTGGGAAAAAGTGAGAAACCTTGGGGAGAACTAGGGAAACCCACAGGGAGGGAGACCCATATGAGAAAGGGATCCGCTCCTCCGGACGGACAGGCTAATGATCTAGGACCTAAGCTAGCTACAGAACGTGGACCAGTGGACGCTGAACGTGGACAGGTCCGGTGCAGGACCGTAGCACTCGCAGGCGGGTTGGGCGGGGCAGTCCGCAGGTGTAGATGGAGGAGGCCAGGCTCAGAGATCCCGTCATCGTACCATGAAACAGACAATGGGACAACAGGTGAATAGCAATGAACAAACTACAGTCAGAATCCTAAAAGTGCTAAACAGATAAAGTAGATAAAGTAGGAAGGAGGAGAGGATAGTGCTCAAGTTACCATACTTCTCCCAGCAAACTGACTCCCTATGCAGCTTGACTGACACTCTGAGGAGTTTAGCCTTCCCCTAGTCTTACCTTCCTAACCATATGCTAAACTAAAGAGGACTGTCCCAAACCTAGCCTTGAATAAAGAGATTCATGGATTGCACACCAGGTGTGCAAACCGATCCAAGCAAACCTAATTATATATTATATATCATATACATCACATATACCATACATACCATATATATCATATATAATACACAACATAACATACAGCATAATATATAACATAATATACAACATAACACAATACATTATTGTATAATATATAACATAATATATAACATAATACAGCATCTATATATATAATATATACACCATATATTATACATTACCTAATTATATGCTAAATTAAAGTAAAGTGCTTTAAGCCTGGCCTTGAACGTGGAGACCGTATCTGCTTCCTTAACATAAATGGGAAGCTGATTCCACAGTAAAGGAGCTTGGTAGCTAAATGCTCTGCCACCAACAGTGATTTTTGAGACCTTAGGGACCACCAGACGTCTGGCGTTTTGTGAGCGCAACGCTCGACTTGGTTGATACGACACTAACGTGTCTTGGAGATAAGAGGGAGCCAAGCCATTTATGGCTTTATATGTTAAGAGTAGGATTTTAAACTTTATTCTGTACTCCACAGGGAGCCAGTGGAGTGATTTCAACACCGGAGTTATGTGCTCCCTCCTTTTGGTACCTGTTAAGAGCCTAGCTGCTGTATTCTGAACGAGCTGGAAGCTCTTCAAAGACGCTTTAGGGCACGCTGCCAATAAAGCGTTACAGTAGTCAAGCCTTGAGGTGACAAACGCGTGAATGAGTTTTTCCGCATCACTTTTAGGAAGGAAATTCCTAATTTTAGCGATGTTCCGTAAGTGGAAGTACGCCGTTTTAGTTGCTTGGCTTATATAAGCCTTGAAGGAGAGTTCTTGGTCAAAAATGACTCCAAGATTCCTCACAGTGTTACTAGGTATAATACTGACATTATCGAGAGTAATTATCTGGTTAGTGAGGGTGTCACGCAGGCGCTTCGGACCGAGTAGGATCACTTCTGTCTTCTCCGGGTTGAGAAGTAGGAAGTTAAGAGTCATCCACATTTTAAGGTCCTTTATGCAGGCACTGAGCTTTTCTAGCTGATCTGTCTGATTTGGCTTCATCGACAGATAAAGCTGTGTGTCATTTGCGTAGCAGTGGAAATTAATTCCATGCTTTTTAATAATGTTTCCTAATGGCAGCATGAGAGTAAAAAGAATCGGTCCGAGTACCGAACCCTGCGGCACACCGAATTCTACTCCAGAATAAGGTCTGATCTGATAAATAGGATTTAAACCAGCCAAGGGCTGTTCCTCTAAGACCTATATCACATTCTAGCCTCTGCAGTAGAATGCTGTGGTCTATTGTGTCAAATGCAGCACTAAGGTCCAGTAGGACCCGCACTGACACTTGTCCATTATCAGCAGCTAGTAGTAAGTCATTTGTGACTTTGACTAGTGCCGGTTCAGTGCTATGATGAGCTCTGAATCCTGATTGAAAGACTTCAAACATATTATTTTCCTGCAGGTGGCAGCGAAGCTGCTCAGCTATAAGTTTTTCCAGGATTTTAGATATAAAAGTGAGGTTTGAGATCGGTCTGTAGTTTGTAAGTATTTCTGGGTCCAGGTTTGTTTTCTTCAGAAGGGGTTTGATTACCGCGGTTTTAAAAGCTTGTGGGACATAGCCACATTGTATGGATGCGTTTATTATATTTACGATAGGCTCAATTATCAAAGGAAGTATGTCTTTGAAGAGCCATGTCGGGACTGCGTCTAACATGCAAGTTGAGGCTTTTGAGGATGTGACCACAGAGATCACCTCTGCTAGGCTCACAGCCATGCATTTATCGAGGCCCACTGAAGAGTCTAAGTGGGAAGTCAAGTATGCCGCTTCAGCCTGTCCACTACCAACAGCAGGAGTAACCTCCTCCAGCTTGTCACGGATGGATGTAATTTTATTATTAAAGAAGTGGAGAAAGTCGACACTGCTCAGTGAGCTCGGAATTTTAGGCTCGATTGCGCTATGGCAGTTTGTGAGTTTAGCGACGGTGCTAAACAAAAATCTACTGTTATTTTTATTTGCTTCTATTAAAGTTGAATAGTATTGAGTTCGAGCCCTGCGAAGGGCATTCTTATAGTTTCGGAGACCTGCTTTCCACTCCCTGTGGACAGGCTCCGAGTGGGAGTGGCGATATAGCCTCTCCAATTTTCTGACGTCCTGAGTAAAACCAACACCATCTAGTACGGCGCTGAAAGCTTTGTTTAAGCTGTCAGTGCTGTCGTCCACATGTATATTTAAGTCTCCAGTTATAACTATGTTTTCCCATTCCAAAACTAGGTTTGAAATGAAGTCAGAGAATTCTGTTAGGAACTCGCTGTAAGGACCAGGAGGTCGGTATAAAACTATAAATAGCACCGCTTTTTGTTTTCTCCACCCAGGACAGGTGATTGAAAGTGTTAAGTTTTCAAACGAGTGAAAAGCATTGTTGGTTTTGGGACTAAGAACCAAGTTGGTGTGTGATATAATCGCAACACCACCGCCGCGACCTGTAGTTCTGGCTTTCTGGTAATTAACATGCGTCGGAGGAGTGCACTCATTCAATCTAACGTAGTCGTCCTGTTGGAGCCAAGTCTCCGAGAGCGCAAACAAATCCAAGCCCTTGTCTATAATAAGTTCGTTTATGAGAAGCGATTTAGACGAGATTGAGCTGACGTTCATTAAACCACATTTAACAACCCTACTGTTAGAACTATTTTTGTCTGTCTGAACTTTTATTAAGTTACTGTTTCTGACACCCAGGTCAGATTTCCTCGCATATAGTGCTTTAGACTTCAAGCGAGGAACACACACAG